ATTTTACACACACGTTTGAAAAAATTCAATCTATTTTTTCGAAAAAATTCTATAATTTTTCAAGATAAAAAATTCAATTTATTTTTTAAAACATTAAAAGTGTAAAAAAAGAAGAAGAAAAACTAAGATTAATCCAGAATAATTTTATCTTTTTTTAGATGTTTGAGATAAATATCACTAAATGATTTTCATCATAAGATTATTTATGTATTGGTTATTTTTTAGGATAAATAAGAGAAATAGAACAATTTAAAAAAAAATCAAATAAATCATTAAAAAATTTATTTAAAAAATAATTTTTAAATAAAATAAAGTTTAAGGGAGATTTAGGCATTTAGCCCTTTTGACCAATAAAATATATGATTATGCATCAAAGATGCCATTAGGAGGAGGAATGTTTTGGTTTGCTCCACGACAGAACACGAGACGATAATTGCTTAAAATATGAAGTACCCTGTTGGGAGTGGCTTGGGTGCGTAAATTTATCTTTCCCACGTCCACGTGACGTCACCTAACGAGTGGCGATACAATTCCAAGATAGTTACAAATAAATGAATTATAAATTAGTCAAGAAACGAATTAATTAGTTTACTTTATTTAAAAAATGAATGAATTGATTAATTCTTTAATTAATATTAATCATATTTAATTTAAAGATATTGTTAAATTTATCAGCTAAATTATTATTTCTATCATTTTAAAAAAAATTACCAAAATATCTTCCATTAATGTTTGTTATGCAATAGTTATTGGTAATTGATAATTGTCTAGTAAAAAATTACGAGAATAACAATTTGGTTGAGAACTTTAACAATATCTTTAAATTAATATTAATTAATTTTATTTTTTTTGTTTTATCAATCTTTCAACACTATCTATTTTTTTTCTATTATTTTAAAACAATATAGATTAGAAAAGAGTATAAAATAGATAGATTACACTGAGCAATTATTAAAAAAAAACTAATTAATTCGTTTATCGAACTAGATTGATTAATTTATTATATAGTACACAAAGATACAACACAAAACACTATGATCATACATTTTGATATATATATATATATATATATATATATATATATATGATAGTTTTGTTAATTAATTTGTTATATTTAAAAGAGGCATTGGGTCCAGAGGATACTTAAAACTACAAAACATCGTGTTTTCTATAAAAGAAATTAATTTATCTTGTTTTGAGAAAAAAGTTAAATAATCTTTTTTATTTTAAAAATTAATTATTTCATCCACATGTTTGAAATGTACATATAATTTTTTACTCTATTTAATTTATTTTAATTTTTTATTTTAAGAAATAAAAAAGTTAAAATATTAAAAAATATATATATGAAAAGATTATGAAAAAATAAATTTTTTTAAAAATAAAAATAATATTAAATTAAATACGATCAACACTGATTAAAAATTAAATAATAATTTTAAAAATAAAATGAATTAATTTATTTATTTTTTAAAACTAGACGGACTAAGTTATGCTTTCCTCACTGGTAGGCCTACCAAATGATTGATGTCGACTGTCGAGGACAGATGACAATTGTTACAGTAGAAGAGATTGTTCAAATTCTCTGTACATATACATTTGCATATGCAGGTTAGGGATTACATGAAATCGAGTTAGTAAATTATAAATTAGTCCCTATTGTTTTAAAAAATTAATTAATTGGTCTACTTAGTTTAAAAAAAACATTTAGCCTTTTTTGCTATTTTTTAAATTTATTTTATTTTTTATTTTATGAAATTTTTTAAAAAGGTAAAAATATAAAAAGATTGATGAGAAAATAAGATATTTTATATAATAAAAAAATATTAAATTAGTCGCTATCAATATTGATTAAAAAGATTAAATAATTAATTTTTAATATCGGAAGAACTAATTAATTTATTTTTCAAAACGAAAAAGACTAATTTATAATTTACTCGAAATTGAGTAAAAGGTTCAGTAATGTTTATGAATTTAAGCAAGTTATTTGGTGAATCTTATTTAGCATTTGAAAGTTGGGATAATAGATTAATAAATTGTAGAAGGGCATATTATTCTTATGTAGTATTAGGAAACATAGTACATTTTTCTCTCTTAAGGTTAAGAAAATGACTAAAAGGTACATAAATCCTGAACTATTAAATGTTATTAATTTTTAGATTAAAATTTCTTGTCACTTGTTTCTAATAAAGTGTTTGATTTGATTTAGTTTATCTGTAATTAGGTTTGGGTTTGACAGGCGCATTATTAATAAATTTATGTGATAATCGCTTAAGACTAATAAATTAACTTTTATTGTTTATCTTAATTTTTTTAAAAAAAATCATATTCAATCGTGTTGTTTATATCGATCTCTTCATATATTAAAAAAAATAGAATTTATTTGATTTTTCTTTCTTTTATTTTAGTTTATCATCATTTTTTTCTCACATGTAAAATAAATTAACAAAATTTGTTTTTGCTGAAAATCGTAATGAAAGTAGAAGTCAGCCCACCTTTTTGCAAATTTCACTTGTTTTTGACGTCACCATCATGTGATTGCAGCAAATTAATCCCGTAATCAAAGGATTGGGATCTTATAATAATTGTTAAATCCTATCCTTAAAATTTAGATCAAAGGCTGGGATTTGTTATGTTTTATTTATTTATATATATATATATATATTTTTTTAAATTAAGGCTTACTTTATATAGCTATTTAAGTGAATGCATTTTAAAAGAGAATATTCATATTTAAGAGATTTGTTTTTGGAAAATTCTATCTCCTGTTTAAGGAAACCTTAATTGTCTTTTCTTTTATTGATGGATTTAACAATCTTAATTTATTAATACCCAAAAAAAAAAAATCTTAATTAGTTAATGAAAAAAAAACTCATTTACAAAATTGGAAATCTGATAGTGTTGTGTACTTCTGTTATTCAAATGGAGAATTAATTCATGTTCTTTACTCGTAATTGAGATGTGGGGGTGTATGATCATTTACAAAATTTAATTTCTTTTACACTATTTCGAATTTTAAGGCAATTTTTATTTTTTAATCAATGTTTTCTTTTTTAGTGTTTATATCATAATTTGTTTTTCAACCATAATATATTTTTAATTAACTTACACATCAATCAAAACTATTTTTTTCTCCGAATGATTTACTTGGGTAGAGTTGGGCTCTTATACTTATTCTTTCGATATGATCATATTGTTCCACGCAGATGCTCTGCGGGTTCGAAGATTATTTTTGATAGATTTATGTGGAGGAACATCTCCTAGACTGTGTAGAATATGACCATCTCTCTAGAGCTTTGCTATCATCTACATGCATAAGAAAAAAAAAAAGTAGAATGTCTGAAAATGCTTGAGAATCACATAAATCGATCACTTATCCTCATAGCTCATCTCGTGAATCTGCCTTCTTTTATTAGAATCAATAATTTTTTATAATCTCATTTTAAAAATCAAGTTATATATAGATTAACTTTGTTTGGTCGATCTTAGCAATTAAGGTTGGAAAGTCGAAGAATGGATTAAACATTGTTGAAAACCGTCTCATTCTAAAAATTTAGTTATTAAGTAATATTGATTTTATTTCAATTTTATGATTGGGGAAATAAGGTTGTTCTATTATTAAAGTTTAGTAGTGCGATATGTTTTTTTTTTTTTTTTTTTTTTTTTTTTTTTTTAATTTGTGGTGGTTTAAACTCATTTGTAAATGTATAATTCTATAAATTTCTATGAAAATACTTCAAATTTAATAATTTTAGAAAGTTTTATTGAGAAACTTTATAATACACTAGGAGTAACTAGTGGCATATACGATAGTTATTTCATGAATTCATTTTGAGGAGAGAGATAGATACGGATAAAAAAGAAATTACATTCATACCTTATCAAAAATGAAAAGAAGATTTTCACGTCCGCTCAAATTTTAGAAAGTTTTATTGAGAAACTTTATAATACACTAGGAATAACTAGTGACATATACAATAGTTATTTCAATGATTCATTTTGAGGAGAGAGATAGATACAAATAAAAAAAGAAAATCCATTCATACCTATCAAAAATGAAACGAAGATTTTCACGTCCACTCAAATTTTTTTTATTTTTTCTCTCTGTTTCTCTCTCTCTCTGTTATTTTTTTTTCATCTATTTCTCTTTTTAAAATGGACTCATGGAGTAACTACTATATAAGCTATTAGTTATTTCTAATGTATTATAAAATTTTTCAGTTTTATTTACCATCCAAATTGATAAAAAGATATGTTGTTACTTGAAATATCCGGTTTCACAATTGTTGCCAAAATATTTTTCGAATTCAATCTTTACCCTTGTTTTCTTTTACGTTATTTATTATTCTATAAAATGATTTTATATGTATGCCTCTTTAATTATTATTAAAACACTATTTGCATTTTCAAAGAAAAAATAAGAATAGTTGACAATAAACCTCATAAACAAAAAGTTTAAAAGCAATAATAAAAAAAACCCCTCCGGAAAGTGTTCGTTAACTATGTCATAGAAAAATTAATCTTAATGTACATGAAAACTGAACTAAGCACATTTTTATTGATGAAAAATTAAATAAATAAAAATAAAAATTCCAGAAACATGCCACCTGCTACCCAGCCAGGTAATATTCGATCCTATCCCATAAGTTAAAGTCAATATAGCACTTGTCAAAGGCACCAAGCCAAGCAACGGCATAAATCTTCACACATCGACACGTGCATATGTTTATTTATTTATATAAATTGTTATGTACTGAGTTTTATATATACTGTAGCTAAGGATAAGCTCATTAATTCCTTAGAAAACCAAATTGATGATCTAAAGAACGTCAAAGATCATGCAAAAACAAAGGGAGGACTTGATCAGCAACTCTGCCACCAAAAAGAGCTTCCCCGAAAATGAAAGGGTAAGCGACAAGAAAGTGAGAGAGCTGGTAGTAGAAAAGAGAAGACTAGTGGAGGTACCCTATACAGCTTCCTTGGCCCACACATTGAACTCCATGGTGGCCAACCAGGTGGTGGCTGTGCCTGTAGCTGCACCACCTGGGCACTGGATTGGGGCTGGTGGATCCATGATCATGGAGTCTGATAAGAAAACTGGGGAAGTGAGGAAGCACTACATAGGGATGGCTACTATGCTTGATATCTTGGCACATATTGCTGGTGACGATCAAATCATCGGCGGTGATGATCATGCGTCTGATCTTGATAAGAAGATGTCCGTTCCTGTTTCTTCCATCATAGGGCATTCCCTTGAGGGGCTCAGTTTGTGGACTCTCAACCCTAATACTAGGTGAGTTAATTAATTAATCAATCAAATGGATCTGGATGATTTAGATTTAATGAACATAATGGTGTTTTTCCTTAATTTTGAATCCAAAATAAGGAATTCTGTATTTTCTTACATATAACATACTAGATTAGCTTTTTGGCTGAAAAGTCTACATGGAATTACACACAACTTTTCACAAATTGGCAGCTTCCTAGATTGTATGGAAGTATTTAGCAAAGGAATACACAGAGCATTAGTACCACTTGATAGCCATATGGAGAACACCGCAGGAGTGGAGCTTATGGAGTCTGCTTCAAGCTATCGGATGCTTACACAAATGGACTTGTTAAAGTTCTTGAAGGATAATGCTTCTGAACTGCGAGGCATCATATCTCGCAGTGTGGGTGAAATAGGAGCAGTAAATGATAGTGTTTATGCTATCAGTAGCCGCACAAAAGTTATCGAGGCCATCAAATGCATGAGGGCTGCGTTGCTGAATGCTGTTCCCATAGTTTTGGCCTCAAATTCTCTTGAGGAAGATTCCAAGCAGCTTATAAAGGTAAGTCTCTTCTCAATCTTGTGTTTGTGTGTATTTCTGCGTATGTGAATTAATCTGAAAATTAACAGTGATGCATTTCTGACAATTTTCATATTGGGCAGGCAGCCTATTTCGTTTAATTTGTTGCCATCATGATCCATTTATCCTAAGACAACATTATTCTTTCATTGCAGGGCAAAGGCAAGAAGCTTATCGGAACATTTTCTGCAACAGATTTGAGGGGTTGCCATTTGGCTGCATTACAAACATGGTTGCCTCTGAGTGCTCTAGAATTCACTGAATCAGTCTTATCAAGCCCAATTTATGCAGCTCCCGATGCATCAAATATTTCCCCAAGGGAACTTGTGACTTGCCATCCTGAATCATCCCTAGCAGAAGTGATTGACAAGGCTGTTACGAAACATGTACACCGAGTTTGGGTTGTAGATCAACAGGGTTTTCTTGTTGGACTTGTTTCTCTGACAGATGTTATCAGAGTGATGAGGGACTTAATACTCTCTCGGATTCCGTCTTAATGTAATCTTGGACAGGTGATGAGTTTTCTGTAAATTTTAGGTTTTCTATGTTTCTTATGAACATCTTTTGGCATGAGTGTACCTGGGATATTTGCAAGTTCAATAAAGCTGCTTGAATTTTCCTTCATGGTGGAATTTTTTCAACAGAATGTATTTTCTTCCTTCTATTAATGATTGTATATAGAATTAGTGAAGGAAAAAAAAAAAGTTTTATGGAATTTTACAGAAAGAAAAAGAAAGAGAAAGTGAGAGTATGATTAATCCATGTAGGAGTCACCTCTCTAACTTTTATTCCAGAGGAATATTCAAGTTTCCTATTTATGCCAAATTATCGAATTTGAGTTCGATTGGCCGGCCAAGCTAGCGAACCCTATATCCAAGTGATTATGGAATTGGGTCTATAAGCGAGAATGGTCCTCACATCATCCATGAGCCTTGGCTTAGGTGGAGAGAAGAAATCTTGTGCATCCCTTTTGAATTGTTCAAAACGATAAATGGGCCTTGCAAACCTTTCTTACATCTGTTGGATCCAGCCCAATAAATCATCCCAAATGAACAATTTACAGTATGCAAAAGGAACTTTAAATGGGATTCGAGCCTGAGGCCTTCATGCTAATCGCATCCAAAAGAGACCTAGAATATTTTAGGCTCTAGGGCCACACTCGTTTTATCTTTTCTCCTTTTCTCATTGGGCTTCAAGCCCAGATAAAGAAGTATAATAGAATCAGGTACTTAAAAAGCAAACCCGGCCCATGTCCCATAATTAAAGCTCCACCCAATCCTGCAGAAAACAGAACGTGCAAAATAAACAAAATAGTCCCTACAGTTCACCCAAAACTCCAAAAAATCCCTAAACTTAATTATTACATATGATCCCAAATTAGCCACCTCAAAGATGGGAAATAAAATGGTGAATGCTATCTTCCAACTCCAAGGGCCATGTGAGAGCACCCTTCTTGCATGGTTTACTCACACCAACGCAAAAGGAAATAGGTTAATAAACACAATTAAAGGAAACAAGGACTAAAATGCAACAAACAAACAAAATCACCCATTTCCCTAAAAAAACGAAGAAAAGAAAAACAAGCATGGATAATATGAAGGCATTTTCATTATCAAGGACGTTTAAAGCTTGAAATGGTTTTTTGACGTGGTATCAAAAATCTCTAGAGAAATATGTAAATCCCATCTCCTAGAAAGCTGAAGAACAGACTCAGCAGCAGCTAATTTGATATGAGGCTTGTGCTTGTCACTTGTGCACGAGGTGATTCCATCAAATGTATCGCCCATTTGAAGCATCTTTGACAAAATATCTAGCAGTTCATCAATATGCCGCTTGACATGAGGTCCTCGATGCGGCCAAAAACTATTGGCAAGTGCTTTCAGCGCATGAGTCTTCAGCTTGCAAGACTCACAACACTCAGAAGTATCATCAAGTGATGGTTGTTGATCTTTAGATGGTTCCATTTGAAAAATTCTTCCAAATATGTATGATCTAATTTCTTGATCTTTAGCTTCAAATGCTGAAACAGAATGTTGTGCAATACAGTCCAAGGACTGCACCCACTGTATAGAGCATCCACATGTTCCTTGTAGCAAAGTTTTGAGAAAATGAACTTATCAGAAGAGCCAGCAAATGAAGCAATTGCAGAAACAGCATGCTTCGACTGAACACGAGTCCCCTTGAGGCATTTTCTCTACAAGAATGGGTAAAAGTCGCTGAATTTGGCTTTAATATGAGGGCCCGCTTTGGCCAAGACTTCAACCAGCGTATCATTAATCGGATTTTTTTCTTCCAATAGCACTTGAAACTGCTCTTCGAAACCCCTCATAAGGGAAGGAAAAACACTGATAATAGCCAGAAGCAATTCAGCAGAGGCCTTGACATGTTGAACAAAACCATTGCTGGAAAGATGATCTAAAATATATTGAACATGCTCTTAGCTGAATATGTTAAATGAGCATTTTGAGGAGAGTAATTGTAGAAACTCAGAATGTGGATGCTTTTCTCCAATCGTTTTCAGAAAATTATCCCTAGTTGTCTGGGAACTTTTAATTGTCCGATCATCAAATAGTTGCTCTAGTGCATTGAAAGTCTTGTTATCTTTCATCTGGTTCAATTTATGGAAGCACTCTTCTGCTTTCAAAGGATCTGGAAAGGATGCTGACATCTTCACAAATTAATTTTTTATTCTTCTCCATTCCTTCTGAACTGCTGTCCTGCTCTTTCTTCTGTTGTACCAAATATATTTGCATTTCAGTCTGCAGCCTTCTCTTCTGATATGATATGGATTTCAGTGCCGTCACGTGAAAAGGAGTGAAAAGGGAGAACAAATGGATCCAGCGCCGTGTCCTTTCGTCGACAGGAAGAAAGACAGGAAATAAATCCTCTGCAATAACAAGCTCCATGTTTTGGGGCCTGAAATCCTTACAATCTTTATCATAGGAAAGCATCAAGACTTTACAAGGAATCTGTTCAAAGCGATCACTTGCTGTCATGTGGCCTTCAGAACACGTGATACAATAATCTCATGTTCAAACTTTAAGAAGAATTTCATGGTAAAATTCCTCAAGCTCACTCTCAACACCGTCTCTGTCTGAAAAACAAGATGTTAGAAACCCGCAAACAAATGGCTCGAGCTTTTCTGCACAAGCTTGGATCACAGAAGCAGCAAGCTGAGAAGCAGCGTGAGGTGCAGCCTTTACTTCCTTTATTAGATTCAGCAAAATCACATCCGAAAGTGCCTGAGACGCCTCCTCGTTTAAAAATATGTTCCATTATAGACAAAATCTCATTAATCAAAGACTGCTGGAGACGTTCCCTCACAACAGAGGAAAAAAATGTTGAACATTTCAAGAACAAGATCCTTGCAGTCAACATCCAGCATGATCACATAACATTTCTACCTGAAACATTCCATCAACTTTAAGCCCATTATCCTTAAGATTAAACTCCATCTCTATCTTTTAATCACAACAAACAACAGTCATCTTGATTTTAAAGATAAAACAGCAACCGGAAAACAAACAAGCCTATATTGTCGGATTTCTCACAAACCCCAAAAAAGAAAAGTATTAAAAACCCCCCTTGACCTCAAACAAAATGGATTAGAAATTATACAAAAAACACTCCCTTCGACAAAGCCGTTGTATTTGAATCCGAACGCATATTATGATTGTAGTTAATGTTTTTTAGAATATCCGTACTGAAAATATTGAATTAACAATGGACGGTGGTAAAAGTGGAAGGCAACCCTCCACTTTAGAATGTGTTAAATGTTTTAAACATGAAGTTCAAACTAAAAATGCTCTTCAATTTAGAATATTTTTCGATTTTGATTTAGCAAGTGAGAATGACCCATCATATAATAGGGTCATGTTTATTTATAAGAGGACATTTTGATTTTTTCATGTTTTCTATATCCAAACAAAACCCTAATCAATTTAAGATGTTATCTTTAATTTTTGAAAAATAAAGATGTAAATTGTTACCATTATCAAACTATACAACAATATAAAGTAACAAAATTTTGAAAATTCTTATTAATTAATTCAATAAGTCTATGTTTTAATGACGTAAAGTTTTTTGTACTCTTAAAAAATCATATGTTAAAATTCTCTTGTGAATACTTTAGCTTAAAAAGTGCTCCTATTACCAGAGGGCGTCGGTTTTGTTGTACCTAAGATAAAGAGTAATTTATGGTTTTAGCTCAAATTAATGGATTTAATGGCAAATTTTACTTTTATTCTATTATGATTTTACAATTTTAGATTCATAATATCAAATTGCATAATTTGAATTACAAAGTATTGAAAATTAGACAAATGTGATCCAAATTGCACAATCTCTCGTTATGTGTAATGATCGATTTAGTTGACGGTTATTTGAAATGTCAAAACAACGTTGTTTTGACATTCCGATGTTAATTATGTTTTTTAAAAAATATTTTTAACTCCTTAATCTTGAACTTTTTTCTTATAAAATATTAAATATTTTATAAATTATATAAAAATATATTTTATAAATATTTTTAACCCCTTTAATTTTGAATTTTTTTATAAAATATTATAATTTTTTTTATATAATTTATAAAATTAAGGTCAAACTTTAATTATGCTCGGTTTAATTTATAAAATATTTTTTAAGACCTGAAATTATGTATTGTTACTTATGTTTTTTTTACAATAATATTTTATAAAAAATTTTTTAAAAAAATTCAAATTGGGTGGTTAAAAATATTTATAGAATTTTTTTATCAATAATTTATGAAAACTTTATAGGCAAAAAAAATTATAAAAAAAGTTCAAGATTAGAAGGGTTAAAAATATTTTAAGAAAACAAAATCAACAATAGAATATCAAAATGATGATGTTTTTGTATTTCAAATAATGATCAACTCATTTTACGATTACATATAATGAAAATTGAATAATTTAGATTATATTTATTTAATTTTTAATACTTCAATATTTAAATTTAATTTGATATTATAAATCTGAAAGTTTTGAATCACAATACAAAAGTCAATGCAAAATGTTACATGGATTTGGGGGAAAACCACAAATTGGTTTGTAGTTTCAATGTAAAAACAATAATAATGAACATGCACCCACGTGCCATGATCACTTTGACATCTTACGTCTTCTCCCCCAACACGCGTATCTTTCTTCTATTTATATAGATTCTTCCTTTTCTTCGATGACTCCTATTTTTGTAGCAGAGCACTCGAAGCAGATCTTGGACATCACATCTATGACTTGCACGTACCCAAAAACCCAAAACAACCCAATAAATGTTCTAACTTTCCCACCTACCCATATTTCCTAGAAATCTCCGCAACCACCATAACCCTTTTTCTTAATTTGTATCCTTCAGCCCCCCTTTCCCTCCCCACGTATAACATCGCTCATCATCTCCAACAGCTAGTCATGAAAACTACCACCACTTCCTCCACCGCCGCCGCAACAATCACTTCCACGCTTCCCGCCCCTTATAAGCGTAAGCAGATCAACCTCGACGGCGTCTACATGGAGGAGAAGGAGAAGAAGCAAGCAAACTAATGGCATTATTACCGATGGAGTTGGTAAAGGTTTCTATGGTGTTGACCCGTTCTTTTTGAAATGGACGGTGCATGATATTTTCAATGTGGCTGGGCATCACCGGCTTCCGTGCTTTTTCGGACTTGGGTTGTTGTTTTTCATGGGTGTGGAGTACACGCTCAGCATGGTGCCAGCATCCTCGCCGCCGTTTGACTTGGGGTTTGTTGCCACGCGCCGTCTCCACGGACTGCTATCCTCGTGGCCGGAGCTCAATACTTTGCTTGCTGCTCTGAATACGGTATGCCATTAATTGCGAACATATTATACAATGCATCAATGAACGTAATTTACTGTAATTTCTGCTAATTAGGTTGGTCATGTTTCAAGTTTGAAACAACAAAGAGTGGACCAGTGAGGTGTAATGATGGCTATTAATCATTCCGGGTTAATGTGTTTTTCTAGTTTTCTTTTCTTTGGGGAAGATTTGAAAAGGATGCGTTTATGGTATTTAGCCATGGTATTAATTTTGTTTCGATTTTTTTTTTTTTTTTGATCTCTTGTTTTTAAGGTTTGATAATTAATTGTTCAGCACATGCAAGGAATGAATCTTCTTTCTTTTCTTGTTTTTTCCCCTTAAATTCGATATTCTTCATTCAGATTTTTCTTTAACAAAAGGGTATCCTAGGCTAGCTTTCGTCCGCAAAAACTAAAGTTCAATTCGGCTTTAGAAGTGATTTGTAGTTTTAGGTGTAGCTTAACTGTGGATATAATTGTGATGGTGACCAAACAAACAAAAGTGTTTGGTTATAAGAACCATCGAAGTGGGGAATAATCTAATACCAGACAAAATCACAGCTGGGTCTAGGTGGAGTTTTAAGGGCAGTAATGGTCAGGTATTTACGTTGTTAACTTGTATATATGGTCAGGTATTTGTGGGAATGCAAACAGCTTATATCCTGTGGACATGGCTAGTAGAAGGTAGACCTAGAGCAACAATCTCTGCGTTATTTATGTTCACTTGCCGTGGGATTTTGGGTTACACCACCCAGCTTCCTTTGCCTGAGGTTCGTATCAACTCAACTTCCCTCTCTCTTTCTTGATTTCTAGCTAGTATTAATTGGAATATTGACAAGCGACTTTAACAACCATGTTATCGGCCATCCATAAATTTTGTCTCTATCAGTATAGGTGGCTTTTCTTATCTGTCACTAAACAAAAGAATTCCCGATTGTTTTTGTTTTGTCTTCTTGTTTCTTTATGAAGTGCCACTAATGAGTCATATTTTTGGGCTCACTGCTTGACAGGAATTTTTGGGGTCAGGAGCGGATTTTCCAGTAGGGAATGTATCATTTTTCCTGTTTTACTCAGGTCATGTTGCAGGGTCTGTGATTGCTTCATTGGATATGAGAAGAATGCAGAGGTGGGAATTGGCTTGGACATTTGATGTGCTTAATGTTCTTCAAGTTATTAGGCTTCTTGGTACTAGGGGTCACTATACCATAGATTTAGCTGTTGGTGTTGGTGCTGGTATTCTCTTTGATTCGCTAGCTGGAAAATATCAAGAGTTCAAACGAAGGGAATCTATTGCTAATGCTATTTCTGCTAAAGAGGCTTTCTTTAGTTAGAGAATGGCAAAAGGTACAAAAGAGGAAATATAAGTGACTGGTAGTGGTATAGCCTTCAGAAAGGTAGAAGGGTCTCTGTGAGAAAAAAAAACCAACGAAAAAAAAGAAAAAAACGTTGTGTAGGGAGAGACAAGAAAATTGCCAGGCGTAACAACAGAGGACCTAAATGCTGGGTTAATGCAACTGGGTTTGTTCAGTGTGTTTCCTTCTTCATGGCCTTGCACGATTTTACTGAATTTATCAGTACTTTGTTGATGTTTTCTTCTTGTTTACAGCAGAAAAGAGTAAATTTTCTTGTCAGATATGCACAGGAAAGAGTAAATTTTCCTGCTTAAATTAGAGACACCTCTATTCTTGGAAGGAAACATTCCCCATTTCTTGCCTCTTTTAGGATCAAACAGAGTAGCCTGCCTTCTTGATGGACAGGCCTAGGGCATAGGGAACGCATCATAGTTTTGACTGGATGACCTGCCCCGTTTTATTTGTTTCTGCTTTCTTGTCTCATGATTGCTTGATTGGTAATGGAATCAAAACCCTTTATTAAATAACAAATCAATTTGCCAAACAAGAGTTGAGGGTTCCAACCTACATTTCCCTTCTCTTCTTCACAACCCCTCAAGTGTAAAGACGGCCTTAAATATGGCACATTGAAGTTCATGGCAATTGCAGTTCCAATTTTAGCTGCTGACGGCCAGAGTGACCACAATTCACAAATTTTCCTTGGCAATTGGCGTTAGGATAATATAGTGGACCTTTCCTCGAGATAAATCCCTTCAATGAGAGGAAAAGAATAAAGAAATGGAGCCCAAAAAAACTTGAAGAATGTTACAAATTGCAAAACAAAGTCTCTCTCCATATCTTTTGTGGTTGAATGCTTGTGCAAGCTCTGGCGGGGAAAGTGAGAGTTGAAGCCGTGGTGGCCACAAGAAGCAAGAGGGTTGGCCATCCATCAGCTAGCTAGGTTGCAAAACATAGAAAAAACAGATAGGAAAAGTTGTAAGCATATAACAAGAAAAAATATTTTGTTTCTGGCATTTATTTGATTTGAAAATTGGGGCTAGTTCCTTATTTTATTTTTTTAATTGTACCTATATAGCCTGGATAAGAGAAGTAAAAATTCTTATGCTAGATTTTCTAATCCCAATCGAGGCAACTTTAAATATTTCGGATAATAATTCACCAACTTATTAGGAAACTAATCAAGAAAAATAACAAAAAAAAACATAAATAACAAAAGCAATTACACAATACAAAAATGTACGTAATTGGTTCTATTGTGATTTCTTATTAAGTTTTTGATCAATATCCAATATAAAAGATATTGTTCATATTTATAATGTAAACAATAATTCTGTATATAATATTAAACTGCAAGTCATATTCACATCGGTCTTCATAATTTACAAAACTTTTTATCAGTGTGGCAGTTTTTAAGCTCTTTTTTTTTTTTTTTTTGACAATGACTATCATGTATCTCACATGCATATAATAAACTTTCAACCCAAAAATTCAACTTGTCGATTAATACCACTTTAATTTCTTTGGTTTTTTTTTTTTCATTTAAATTTAGTGTTTTTTATTGGATGCTATTTCCAGTTGGAGGCGTTCTATTTGCTCTTGAGAAAGTAGCTTCAGAGCACCTCTTCCTTCTCTGTGTTTTTCTGTCATAATGGTCGATGAAGAATCTATGCCCATTCAACTCAATTCAGACAACAGACTAAATAAATTATCAATAGTCCAACCGAAAGTTCACTAAGCGTAACTCATGGTGTTACAGACTAGATGTCTCGTTAGTTCTGAGAATCAGGCCGTGGTCTCCTCCTCTTTGGAAGCAGTGGCTCCCTATCATGTACTTGCACCCAACAAAAAGAGAATCTTAAATGAAAATCCTAAAAGTTAAAAAAAAATAAAAAAAATCGATATAGTTCAATCGTAAAAGTAAAATAAGAATTTGATACAGTTTAAATTACTTTTTTTATCATCGCTATGTTACGGGTTGTTACGGGTTATGCTGAACCAAATCATTTTAATTTAATGTCTCATATTATATTGCAAGTCTAATAAAAAAAATATAGAATTAAAGGTAAAATAAAAAAAATTAATTACTTTTTAATGAAAATCTTATATTTAATTTATTCTTATGTTTTTCATAAATTTTCAACTGAAAAAAAAAGATTTATTATTTTGTATGCAATGATTCTTAAATAAAAACTATAATAATCTAAAGAGGAAATTAAATCCACAATTTTTTTAAAGACATCTAAATATTTTTTCTATAAGGTTGTATAAAAAACACTACATTTAATATAAAAACTTGTTTAAAAATTAACAAATTTTAAAAATAAAATTTTATTCTTATTTAATGCTAATGAGAAGATTAATTTTTTAAAGCATTTACATTTGATTTATATATACATAGTCAATCATAAAATAATTAATATTATAGCATTAAAAACTGTATTTGAATCATTCGGTGGATATTTTAAAGCATTATTCTAATTATTTTATTCGAAAGAAACTAATTTTAAAATATTTAATAATAATAATAATAAATAGTTGGTGTTATGTGTGTAGATATATAGTTAATTTTTAATAAAATCAATGATTCAATTTTTTCTTACATCGTGAGTATATGAATTTGAAGTTAATAGACTGAAATAAAAATTATAATAAAATTGATCTCGATAAATTTTGATTACATAAAGAATAAGCAAATAACACATGTAAAATCTATTTTTTAATTGATTTTAATCTTTTTCTTCCAATAACACATGTAAAAATCATAAAAATTCATTATATAAATTATATTAATGTATTTTAAAAAATTTTATTCTAAAATTTTATTCTAAAATCTATACATAGAGAAAAATAAATCATATTTTTTAATTAATAAAAATATATAAAAAATAAATTAAGAAATTACTTAAATGTTTTCATAGAAAATAACAAATTGAAGAAATCATCTTAAATTTTGAAAGCAAAAAAATAAAAATGACAAATAAAAAAAATCAAAAATTTTCATTGTCAGGTTGCATGAAAAACCAAAATAAAATTAAGAATTTTTTTTCATAAATTTATCACAAAATCAATAATACAAAACAAAAAAAATAAATTGCTGAAAAAAAAAAACCAAAGTCAAGCCTGCACCTTGGCCTTGCAAAAGTAGGCCCAGGTGGCTTCACCACATATTAAAGAAAAAAAAAAAAAAACAAAGGCAATAAACGATGCGTCGTCCACTGTAACTTTTTGGCGAACTTTAGTTCCCTAAAATGTTCGTTGGAAAAATAGATTTTTGAGTTTTTTGGCTCCAAAATTAATGTGTGTATCTTTTTATTTTTGCTCTAAAAACTTTAAAAACACTGAAATGAGGTAAAAAACATATTCGGGACCTTAAAACTCATTTTAATATACAAAATAAATCAAATTAAATTCAAAAACTTATAATGTTTTGAGGTTTCGAACTACTTCCTCCGATCATTTTATATACTTGAAATTATCATAAACAAACCCAGCTTTTTAAGAAAAACAAATTGAATCCAACATATAAATTATATTAATGTATTTAAAAAATTACATTATAAAATGTTATTCAAAAATTCATACATAGAAAAAAATAAATCATGTTTTTTAATAAATAAAAAAATATAAAAAATAAATTAAGAAATTACTTAAATTTTTTCATAGAAAATGAAAAATTGAAGTAATCATCTTAAATCATGAAAGAAAAAATAAAATAAAAAATGACAAATAAAAAAATCATAATTTTTTCATTGTCAAGTTGCATGAAAAACTTCAATAAAAATTAAAGATAGTTTTTCATGAATTTATCACAAAATCAATAATACAAAACAATAAAAATAAATTACTGAAAAAAAAAAAAAAAACCAAAGTCAAGCCTGGAACTTGGCCCTACAAAAGTAGGCCTGGGCAGCTTGACCACATATTAAAGAAGAAGGAAAAAAGAAAAACAAAGCCAATGAACGACACAATGTCAGCTTCTACATAGCAGACTATGCGTCGTCCACTGCAATTTTTTTGGCGAACTTGAGTTCCCTGAAAATTCGTTAGGAAAATAGATTTTTGAGTTTTTCGGCCCTAAAATTAATCTGTGCATCTTTTTTGCTCTAAAAACTTAAAAAACACTAAAATGAGGTCAAAAAACATATTTGGAACCTTAAAACTTATTTTAATATATAAAATAAATCAAATCAAATTAAAAAATTATAATATTTTGAGGTTTCGAACTACCTTCTCATCATTTTAGCTTTGAAAATATCATAAACAAATCCAACTCTTTAAGAAAAACAAATTGAATAAAATATTACTGATCGAAGTGGCCAAGATAGGGCTGACCAGTGCTTTCTCTCTTCTCTCTGCATCTAGGGACCAAAGTGTCTTACAAATAGAGTTATGGATCAAAACAAAAAATTTGAAAACATTGGTGGCCAAAGTTCAAAATTTTTTATATAATTTGCATATAATTGCCTAAAATAAAAATATACAAAAAAAAGGCGTGTTTGAATCCATAGTACGTATGAGTCCAATGCTACAATGAATGAACAACAAACCATCCCAATTTTTTATTGTTTTTTTATTTTTTGTAATGGTAGATAAAAAAATGAATTTGGTACACGCATTTTTTTTTATATAGAAAAAGTCCCATTTCTAGAATGTATGATATTAAAGGGAAAAAAATTAAGTTAAATTTGGCTTGCTTTTATAGATTTAAAAACTTTTCCACCATGCTATGTAATGTCAAAACTTAAAAGAAATTTGTTTATTTTATTAATTTTATGGGTTTAAATTGTAGAGTTAGCATTCAGAAAAATTTATTATATTTTGAAGGTGAGCTATTAAAATTACTTGAAGAAAACTCTGTTTCAATTGACACACAATCTAGTCCGAGGACAATCTTATTATAAAATAAATTCCTTTTCACGGAACCAATAAATAACTTGAAATTGAATGATTAATGAAAAATAAGGCAATACATAATGTAA